CACTGCCATGGGATCCACTGTGACTCTGAGCGGCCCCAGGCAGGGCTTTTAAGGCTGTCGCGCCTGACAGGAGCAGTCAGCCTCATCTCTCTCCCTCAGAGTGGTTGGTGGGTTTGAAAGGCCGACTTGGCAGTTAGCAGTCCAATGCTTACCAGACAGAACCACCAGGACTCTCAGGAACCCCCAGGCTTGGGGCAAATGGAAGAATGGCTATGAGCAAACGCAAAGAACCTGCCATATGTGCTTGAGTAAAAAGGGAAAAACAGTGCTTATTTTCAAAATGATGAGACAAAACTAAGCAAGAAAGGGGAGGGGGATGCATAATGCAAACTGGTGCTGCTACAAAGAGGTTCAAACAAAAAAACTAGGAGAGAGCAACCACCGTGCGCTGGGCTCCGCTCGAGGCCACAAGTAGACTGAATGGCAAATGTTTTCTCCAACAGAATTTGCCTGGGAGAGCAGGCTGGGCTTTGAAGGAGGGGAAACCTGGCTTGGAGCAGGAGGGAATAAGGAATTGCCACAAGCCCCCAAGTCCTCTACTGACTCGTTCTACAGGGAGACCAGCACATGCCACCAGGCTCTCGGCTTCCTGGGCCAGGGGAGATGAACAAACAGAGAAAGGCCGTCGCTCACCTTGGGATACTGCCGGTGACACACTTCAGCGAGATGCAGTCCGGTGACCACTCCCAATCTAGCTGCAAGGCGCTGGAGCAGGAGCCCCACCAGGGTGGCCAGCAGAAGGACCCAGAGCAACTGGAGAACACAATTCCCCCAAGACACGCATTAGACAATGTGACCAGGAAGCACTACAGTCAGGTGAGAGCCCAGGTCGGGAACCCAATGCCCCAAGTTCTCTACCATGTTCTAACTAGTTAGGCTACTTGGAGCTTTTCTGGGCCGTGGTTTTTGCCATTTGCAAACATGGGAGCACCTTCCTCCTTCAAGGAGAACTCTGTGAATAAAACTAGACACCAGTGGGAACGTGCTTTCCAAGGAGATGCTATTTTCCATCAAGCATGTGTAGGTAGTTCAGGGATGCCAGAGGCGCGTGTGTGCAAAGGGGCGGGAAGAAGGCTAGAAAGTCACCTTAAATCCTGCCACGGCTCCAGACTGTAAGTCCGACTCAATGTTTCCTGGATCCAGATAGGCAATGCTCATAAGGAAGCCTGGTCCCGTGAAAGCCCATAGTTTCCGAAAGCTGAAACAAGAATACTAAACAAGAGAGACCAAGAAGACCAGCGTGAGCATCACCTCCCAACTACTGATCTAACCTATCTGTGGTTTTATCACGTGGGGAGGAACAGCATCAGCCTCAAAAGAACAAGGACTTAGGGACTGGTTGTTCCGTGAAGCCAAGTTTCACTTCCGCCTTCACCACTTCTTATCACTAAGCTGGCCGCTAGTCTAACCAGTGACCTGCCCCGTTCGTCAGCCTCACATCGGAAAACAGGAGCAACGACATCAGTCCCCCACCCCAACCACTCAGTTCGCGTATCAGTCACAGAAAAAAACTTTAAAAATCAAAGATGCTCTCAAATGCAATTTAGCAACTTTGATTTCTGGCCTTCATTTTTCTTAACAGCTTCTATTCACATGTAATTAACCTAATTTTTTTTAAAATCAGCCTTTAGAGACTTCTTGTCAAATGCGATCGAAGACTGCTGATCGTGGGGTCTACAGAGGGCCCTTTTCCTGGACAACAGTGCTCGCCTCTGAGGCCGCTTCACCAACCTCTTCCTCAGGAATGGCGATCTTCTCATCGAAGTAGGTGGTGAAAGGGTCGGCCGAGTTCCCGGTGGATTGTGAAAGAGGGGAGTTACTGTAGGTGGGGCTGATGGCATCCAGACTGGCAGTATCCCCATGGTCCCCAGAAACATCATCTGAAAAAAACAGAATACGCACTCACAACCCAATCTTAGTAGTATCAAAATTCAGTCTGCAAACCACCTTATTACGTGAGATGATGGCTCGAGCTCAATTTACTGTCAATAGCTTATCTTCACTCATATTTGTCATAAATTAAATTTTTAACAGGTAACACAGTTCCATGGCTGAAAATTCAAGACAGACTAAAAAGGCAAGGTAAAGTATTCCTGTCCCCATCACTTCTAGTTCAGATTTGGATCTAGATCCCCCACTGGGTTTTTCCTGTTTTTATACTTCCCGTCTTAATTGGCAATTTTGGGGGAGAAGGGGCAATGTATACAATCACTTCATTTTCTACTAAAAACACAGCACTCCCAGATCAGAACCATTGGTAGCCTAAAATCTTAACTTTAAAAAAAATCCAGGTAATCTCCTGGAACAATTCCCTTCTTTCCTTTCCCTGCCCCTCCCCCTAAGCTTGGTAGGACTTACTCAAGGGGTCCTTCTTGGCCATTCTATGCCTGATCAGGCCTCTCAAACAAGGGAGACGTTGCAAAACTCTGCTCCAGTTACTTGAGGCTAGCCCCTGTAGTTACAGGAAACTCACCAATCAGGAACCCTTTGCCTCTGACTCAGGACTTCAGGGAAGAGCTGCAGGTCACATGGGCCTTGGCCCTCGTGACAGGAGGCTCCTCCACCAGCTCAGTGTTTGTTTCCTTGAGGCCAGCCTCTCTGTTATGCTTCAGTGCTGGCAGGGCTGATCTTCCCAACAGGTTCTACACCCTGTATACTGCTACCACCAAATGATTTTGAAGAGAGTAACTCTAATCTGTGTTTCCAAAATACCCTGGTGGCCTCCAGTCAGAAAAACAAAAGCTCTTTGTCTGCTGGGAGCTGGCCCACATCGGTGTAAGTGGCCCTGAAGTGATATGGAAAATCATAGGAATGAAATATAAATTCCAAGAGTTTAGAATGAGAAAAGAACTAGGAAAAGTTGGAAGTTTAGAATTAGGAAGAACTCAAGGAAACACTCAAAAAGCTCCAATCAAACCCAGATGCTAATCTCAACCTGGCCTCTGAGAACCCAAATGAGAAAGGGAGGCAGGTCCCTGTGTAAAGCCATTTTCCTCTACAGCCCAATCACCAGATGGTGACTTCTGGACCCAGCAGTGCGGAGACAGGGGCAACTTTTACTGGGACAAGTTTTGTTGGAATAGACAATGAGAAGGAAAATCATAGTACCTGCTGGTCACTAACATAAGGCCAAGTTTCCCATAAAAAAATTAGACAATACCATAGCTGTCAATTACCTTTGAGTATCTTTGGCTCAGGACCCATGGTGGGCACCTGACTGTCCCCACTCTTAGAATAGGACTCTGGAAAGGAGAAAGGGAAAGGTGAGGCTTAGTAATACGATAAGCACATCAGCACAGGCAGTTTGTCACACTGTATATCTAAAGGAGTCTTGTCACGGGAAAAGAAGTCGTGCATTATGTTAAGAGAACCTTGAAAATTAACTGTAGTTGTCAGGCTATAATTAAGAGACATTTACAAAATTGGAAAGGTCTGAATCATCCTTTTGTTGGCAGGACTTCAAAATCAAATTAAAACAAAAGGTAATACAGGGAGGTAGGCAAATACCTGCAGACTAGGTATAAATTTACCCCAAATGCTAACCCAGACTTCATTTCCTCTATTATTAAGGATTACTAAAGACAGATATTGAGCTCTTTCATCTAACAATTTAAACTCATGGTTCAATAGGGTGGGGGGCGTGGGTGACAACACACCAGAAAATTGTTGGAGGAGGGTCACGCTGAACCGGCAGATGTTTCAGCTGATGTCGCTGGGCTTCATTCCCCAACCCTCACTCCACAAGTGGAAGGCATAGATATCCTCGGCCCTTGCCCTGGGGCTCTCTCGGGACTAGAAATGTCTGCTGAAGGAGTACCTGGATCTCTGCCCTGCAGCAGACCCTGGGAAGGGGGGTGGGGGGGAGTGGGAGAAGGTCTTCCTGGGACTGAGAGGTAAACTTGGGGGAAGTGCGGGGAGGATAAGAGCAAGCACATGCAGCTACAAAACTATATTCTCCATTCTTCCAATAAGGCTGGTTTTCTCCTCCACCTGCTCACTGTGGGATCTATTCGGTGGATTCCAATTTTAGGAGAGAAGATGAAGTAATACTGATCCCTCCCCTTGAACCTGAATTGTGCCATAAGTCATGAAGCCTTCCCTTACCCATCTCTTTTACTGCTAAGACTTCCCTTTTCCATCCTTGTGCTCTTATTGTTCATATCTGAGCAACACTCTGGTTTGAATGCTCCATCTACCGATGTAGATGGAGCCCTGGTGGTGTAGTGGTTAGACACTGGGGTCAGTAGTTCGAAACCACTAGTCACACCATGGGAGAAAGAGGAAGCTCCCTACTCCCATCAAGTGTTCGAGTCTCGGGAACCCGCAAGGGCAGTCCCACTCTGTCCCGCAGGGCCGCCATGAGTTGGCATGGACTCAGTGGCAGGGAGTTTAGGGTAATTACTTACGTATTCTAAACCTATTTGATAGAATTACAGAATGCAGACCTGAAAGGGGTTCTTTCAGAGTTCCTCTACCAGCTAAGGTGTAAAATGTTCCACCATCTGATAGTCTGGAGTCCATCATCTTTGGTCTCTATTGTTAGCAATAATACCAAGTAGTAATGGACAGCTGCCGTGCTCTTCTATCAGATTCTAAGCATTAGGTGGCTACTCACCAGCCAACACTCAGATTTCACTGGCCAAATCCTTCCCTTGCAGCCAGTTGCATGAACCCCTCACCCAAACAGGGTTTTGCATGCTGCCCACTCAGAGGAGCCTCAGGCACTTGCATGCCCGTCACAGCACATCCCCCTGATTCACCCAGGGCCTATTTATCTTTGCTTCATATATAATTCTCATATGAAGAATACTATTTAACTCAATTTTTCCACCAACTTCTTGAAGCCCATTTGTAAACCAGGTTTTGTCTAACCTTTAACAAATTAGAAGTCATAAATCAAAATTGAGATTATGGTCAAAAAAGGGGAATCTAGGCCTGAAGGAATCAGAAAACTCAAAAATCACATCAATCTTGAGATATATGGGATGTGGGCAATCACTTCTGAGATTCTGATTGCTAGAAGTATACTAACTTGTGTTTCTAATGTTAGCCTGGAATCACCTTTCAATTCCATTTGTCCACAAACTTTTTGAAGCCCCCTCATATCTTATTCAAAAGGAACAGAAATGTGTAATCCATTTGAAGATTTCCATCCAGAAGTGACTTTTATAAGTTAATATACTTAAAAAGCAAGGGACTGTGGAAACTGTATATTTCTACCCAAGGCTGTAATCTGGAGGTGACTCACCCCAAACAGCGACCCTGTAGGTCAGGGGAGAACTGCCCTGTGGGCTTCCGGAGCGGCCCCTCTTTACAGGGGTAGAGAGCCTCATCGTTCTCCTGGGAAGGCGAGTTAAATGATTTTAAACAAATATTTCATGACAGTGTTTAAAAGTATTATTACTAGTATTGTAAAGATTATTTCTACACCAAATACCAATAAAGTACAAGAAGTCTGAATTCTCTGACACTTCTAGAAAGTATCATTCTGAGAGGAAAAGCGAAAAATGGACGCTGGAGTCCAATTTCCTCATCGAGTTGTTGGTAAACTGTAAGCTCCCTTGCTTGCACGGTCTACAACACTCACTGGGTGCTACTTGGTATTTCAGTCTGCATGGAAATGCAAGAAGGCAGTTAAGTGTAATAGTAAGATGCCTTTGCTCCCTAGAAGAAGAGCTTTGGTGGCATAGCAGTTACACGTTGGGGTGAGATCCTCAAGGTAGGCAGTTCAAAGCCACTAGCTGCTCCACAGGAGAAAGACGGGGCTGTCTACTCCCGTAAACAGTCTTGGGAACTCACAGGGGCAACTCGACTCTGCCCTCTAGGCGCTCTGGGAGTCCACATCGACTGGACGGCAGTGGGTTCAGTTCTGGGTTTTGTTCTCTAGGACTGTACCACTGGGTCCTCTCAGTCATTTAACTATGTTAAGGGAAAAATCTAGTGTGGGACACAGCAACCAGAATCAACTCAGACCTGCTTTGATGTTTGAGCTTAGCCACAACCATCAAATGACACCTTCTTTTAAGCCCACAAAGTTTCCTCCTGTAAGAATTAGCAGTCAACTATAGGCAAAATGCACGCATGCTTAAATGGAATATGGCTATTTGATCACATTCCTTAACAAGCTAGTAAAATTACATTCTCGTTCCAGAATTTCAAAAGTCTACATATCATTTGACCTAGTAATTCCACTTCTAAGAAAGTATTCCTCATAATAATACACGGAAATTTGTGCAAGAATATTTCCCACTCCGTTGTTTCTAGCTCACAAGCCTGAAAGCACTCTAAGTATCAGTGGAAGGAACCAGTTCAGTAAACGCACACATTCAGAGGAGAACAGCACAGTACTGGGGGCTCAGGACTAGTCTCGAGGGCGCCAAGGTCCACGGGCATGAACTTCTACATCCGACTCTGTGGTGGGGTGTGACTGTACTGGATGCCTTTTGGACTAATTTAAATTTTTAAAAAAAGTTTACCATGTAAAAGTTTTACCTTTTCTTTTCTTTCTTTTCTCTTTAGGCTATATGGATTCACATATCTTCTCAACAAACACTTTAGGAGTGTTCCGTGAAAAAGACCTGCAGGTGTCTACATGGAAGTATTTCTTGCCATAAGTTTTAACTCACTACTCAAACAGAAAAAACAAACTCACTGGCATCGAGTCAATTTTGACTCACAGCAACCCTGTAGATCTGGGTAGAAGTGGCCCTGTGTGTTTTTGATGCTGTAACTCTTTACAAGAGTAGAAAGCCTCATCCCCCAGCCCCCTGCTGCCACTCCCCTAGGCACCCCCCACCCCCACCTCCACCCCTACCCCTCTCTCTCTCTCTCTCTCTCCAGGAATGTCTGGTGATTTAAAACGACTAACCTCATAGTTAGCAGCTCAACTGATAACCCACTACAGCACCAAGGTTCCTAACTCACCACGAGTTTGTGTGACTAAAGAAGCTCTGGTGGCGTGGTGGCCTATGCATTGCTAACCAAAAGTCAGTGGTTCAAACCTTCCAGCTGCTCCGAGGGAGAAAGATGTTCAGGTTTATTATGTGCAGCTCGCATTTTTAGGGGGGTAATTTTTTACTTTGATATGTCTGGGGGGACCATGGATGAGGGCCACACCACCCCGAGGAGGGCATCAGGAGAGGCGTCCCTGAAGAGGTGGCTTCTGCTTTGTGGCTTTCGGATGAACTTCCTCCCACCTCATGAGTCAGAGTGATGCGATCCGGGCAAGAAGCAAACTGAAACACTGTCACTGCCAGCGAATCAAGTCCAACTCGGAGCTACCCTGTAGGCCAGAGGAGAGCTGCTCCCTGGAAATCCTGAACATCTAATTAGTAATAACATACCATACATACTCGTGTATAAGCTGAGTTTCTCAGCACATTTTTTATGCAGTTTTTGTGGTAAGATAAGGTGCCTCGGCTGATATTCGGATTGGCTTATACTCAAGTATAGACAGTATGTATTTTCTTAGAATTAAGAATTCTGGACAGTCAATTTCAGCGGTTCTCAACCTGTGGGTCGAGACCCCTTTGGGGGTTGAACAACCCCTTTGGGGGTTGAACAGTTATGAAGTATCAACGAAAATAATTTTAAGGCTGGGGGGGGTCATCACAACGTGAGGAAGTGTATTAAAGGGCCGCAGTATCAGGAAGGTTGAGAACCACTGGTCAACTTAAACAGCCCAAATCTGCTTTAAAAATTGTCCCCAAGAGTTGGCTATGATTTTTCATAAAACTCCCTTTAAAGAGCTGATTCTGACCCAGGGCGACCCTGGACGTTACAGAGTACAACTACTCCACTGGATTTTCTTGGCTGGAATCTTCACCGAATCAGCTAGCCAGGTCTTGCTTCCTCAGTGCCAGTGGGTGGATTGCAACCAGTAACGAGCACCAAACAGTTGAGTTACCCAAGAACCTCCTTAGAGAATAGAGGCAGTCAAAACCACTTCACTGATTTCAGAACTACCTTTCTTCTACACGATTCATGTCATTCTAAGGTCCAGGGAGAAATGCTTTTGCCACCACTGTCTAATTCCTTCTCCCCTTCCCCATCTCATGAAAATAAAAAACACCTTGTCATAGGAAAAGGACTTTCCTATTGGTTAACCAAAGAGAAGCAAGAATGTATTAAAACCAACTAGCAAGGTCACCACTCACTCCTCCCTCTGGATGCCTGCCTAGACCCAGATGGCAACAAGGGACACATGGAAACAGCCAGAAACACCAACCGAGGCTTTACAAAG